TTTTAGTTCCATTTTTACATTTTCTCATATTTTGCAGCCAATTGTTAAGACTTGTCCAACTCTTGCTTGACTTTTTTCCCCTTCTCTATTAACTTTGTTCTGTTGCTGTGGCAGCCTGGTGAGCCCTGGGACCAATAAATTACAATAGTGAACATTTTTATTTTAGTCTCATAAACTCAGCAAATCTAAAGCCAAGTTTAATACTTTGCATATGAACCTGCTATCTTTTTTTATTCCCTCACATGTTGTCCCTATTTATTTTCTTTGATGTGCCAGTTAATGAGTTCCATTGCCCACGAAATGAAAGGTACGCTTTTAGCCTGACCTTTGAGGTCTTTCACAGTGCCACTCCAGCCTACCATTCTGGTTCTGTCTTTGGTCTCATGAACCTTCTTTAGTATACTAGTTATACAGCTTATAGATAAACACAGCATCATCTCATAGTTTGCTTTATTCTAGCACCCTTTTCTAGCCAACTGAAATGTGTTAGTTACACAGTGGTTTTTCAAGGGCAGATTGTTTTTTAGGTTACTTTGAGAGTAGCCATGATTATTAAATTAGCTTTAGCTTTTTTGTTTTGATGATTTGCAAACCTAGAAATATAATAAAATAATGGACATTTAAGATGTAATTTTCAGGGAAATTTGCTCACTGGGAGAGATCTCTGCTTCAGAGTTGGGAGAGAAGGGAATATGGTTGGGACTTTGAATCTGTGCACTGTAGAAAGCAATCTTAAAAGTTAGTTTGAATTATTAAAACAACTTGTTTGAAATGTTTTTTAGTTAACACACATATCCATATTGATTCTATTTCTGTTACTTGCTCCTTTGTCTTGTAAAAGATATCTGATTGAAACAGTTTAAAAATAACTAACCAACCTGTAAAGGAGTTTCAGGAGAATTTTGTTGATGGTACAGACATCAGATAGCTTTGTGATCCATTTCATGATTAATCTAAAATTGCATATGCCTCCTTTAAGTTAGCCTTTAAAAAAATTTTTAAGAGAGGGTCTAATCTCAAATATTTAAATTATTTATTCATTCATTTACTTTTACAAACTTTTTTGAGCCAGGGTTTCTCACTGTATATTTCAGGCTGACCTTGAAGTCACTATGAAGCCCATGCTGGCCACAAACTTGGCAGCCCTCCTAACTCACCCTCCTGAGTGCTGGCATTACTCGGTTTAAATTTTATTTATATTAAATTGTACTTAGTAAATTAAACTGAACAAATTAGAGATTTGTTAATCAAAGTACATCTTTAACTGGAGAGTTACCCAAAAGCATTTTTATTATTCTTTTAAAAGTAAAATACATTTTGTTTTGATATGTTGTAGTTGCATAATTGTATTTAAATCAAAAGGTTTTCTAGGAAAATATACAGAATTGTGTTCTTTTTTTTTGAGACAGGGTCTCATTACGTAGTTGAGACTGACTTGGAACTCACTATGTAGCCCAGGCTGGTTTTGAACTTACAGTGATCCTCTTGCCTCAGCCTCTTGAGTGTTGGGATTACAGGAGTGCACCACCACGCCCGGTGGCAGAATTGTGTTCTTAAAGACCATATCACGTAAAGCAGCCCTTTTAATCCAGAAGAATATTTGTGTGTGTGTGGTATGTGTGTGGGTGTGGGTTTGCATGTGTGTGTACATACATGCATGTGTACGGTACTGGTATCAAACCCAGGGGTATTCTGAGCTATGTCCTGTTTTTTTATTTTGAGAAAGTCTAGCCAAGTTTCCCAGACTGGCTTCAACCTTGTGATTCTTCTGCCTGGCCTTTCAAGTATCAGGGAGTACAGGCATGCAGCACCATTCCCAGCCATTTTTTAAGTTCTAGAAGTGGGACATGTTTTCGCTCCTTATTACCCATTTTTAGTTCCTATGTGTTCAGACTTGATACTGTGTTATTTTTCTATTATTCTTATAATAGTGAAAAAAATGGAATTACAGAAAAGAATAGAAAGCCTTGAATTATAGAATGACGTTTTTGAGTCAGTAACATTTGTAATTCACATTGTAAGTGGTTTCATTTTTTATGTGCTGAGATAAGTAAGGCTTAAGTAAATGTATAGTTTATAATGAGAGGATTTTTGAGCTTATGAGTACTGTACATTTAAGAGAATTTACAGCTCTAAATGTTTAACATCAAAACTTGAAACTTTCTAGTACTGACGTGATCCTGATTTTATGAGAGGTTCCAGTCTACATGCAGGTGTACAGTGCTTATTTTCTTCAGTATCACCAGGGGAAGAAATTCTCTGAGCTTTAATATACAAACTTTGTTTAATGCACAGAATTATTTAAAATACCATATAAAATTACTTTCAGGCTTTGTTTGGAACATGTATTTGGAACATAAATGAACTTCATGTTTAGATCCCAAGATATCTCATTTTGTATATACAAATCCCACCAAAATCTGAAAAAAATAAAATAAAAATCTGGAGCACTTCTGATCCCAACTATTTGGATGAGAGATATTTACATAGTGTGTGCTTTGAACATACCCGTTTTTTCTTTTTAAAATCTTTTATGGGCATACCCAGTCTCACAGACTGTATACCCAACACTGTGGTTATATCTATCATTGTTTTAAAACCTTATAGTATTACTGCACCTTTAAGCTGTTAATAATCTTTTATATACTTTTGATATTTTCTCTTTTTTACCTGTCCACATGCCGATCTGGGATCCTACTCCTCCAGGTGTAAGGCTTTCTTTTGGTATTCCTCTTATTTTGAATCCACTTTGGGGGAGGATTTGGAAAGTAGGTGCGATGGTATGTCTGTTTGGGACTATCATTTCTTTTTAATTTTGGAAGGATATTTTTCCTATGCATTAAATTCTAAGATGAAAATTTTTCTTTCAGTTAAGATAACATTTTGTTGTCTTACTGCTCTATAGTTTCAGTCGAGAAGTTGGCTGTTACCGTCATTTCTATAAAAATTGTGTTTTGTGACTATACTTGATATACTCAGGTGTAGTTTCTATGTGTATACTGCAATTCCCTGGTTGAATGAAGTTGAGATTTAAAAATCAGAGTTGATAAAGTCTATTTAGGCACTGCTTCTGTCCTATTCTCTCTCATGTTGGAATCTTTTAACCATGTTTCACATTACAACCTATTTTTTCCCCTTTGTGTTCTTTAGTTTTAATGTTTTCTTTTGACCTGTCTTCATAATTCTTAATTCTGCTACTCTTAGTCTATTATCATTTGTTCAATAAACTCCTAATATCAGGTATTGTAGTTGGCAGTTCCAGGGTTAATCTGTTTGATTGTTTTTTTAAAAATAGATTTCTCTTTTCAAATACTGTATTGTTTTTATTCTCTCCCTCTTTATTTTACCGTAATATTTATAGCTTTAACATCTTTGCTTACTCCTTATCTGGGTATCTTTTTCATGAACAGTTTAATCTCTTGACCATTAGTCACTTTTAAAAAATTCTCGGCCTCCCTAGTGTTTCGGTACCAGATATGATAGTAAATATTTATAGAGGCTGAAGATTATTTTTTAAAGAATGTAGACTTTAATGTTTGGAGACAGTTAATTGATAAATAGATTGCCTTGGTACTAACAAGTCTTGTTTTTACATTTGTTAGGTGTATTTTAGTTTTGTCTTACAAATCAGTCTTAAATTTTACTCATAATAGCATGATCTGCATTCCTAGGCTGTGTTTTTTCTTTGATTTCATCTGAAACCTGAGGGTTTTCACTTACCCTCTTTGTCTCTGAACTCCATTTGTCAGCTGCTGATATATATGTGATATAGATATATAGATATTTTTTTGGGGGGTGGTTGAGACAAGGTCTCAACTGTGTAATTGAGACTGACCTGGAACTCACTATGTAACATAGCCCAGGCTGGTCTCAAACTCAAAGTGATCCTCCTGCCTCAGCCTCTGGAGAGCTGGGATTATTGACTTGTGCCACGATACAAGGCTCAACTGCTGAATTTTTGACTCAGCTGTTTTCTGTTAACACTGGAGCGCATGCGTACACGTGTGTGCACACACCCACATACACACATCCTATCACACCTGAACATGCCAGTTTAAGAGTTAACACAGTAGTAGGGAACCTGTTGCATGGGCAGTGGGCTATTTAGCCATCACTGCCTTAGGACCTATGAGGGGTTTTTACACAGACTTTTGGGGCTTCTCTGCAGCTCATTTTTTTCTGGTGATCTGTCCTCCAAAGTCCACTTCCCACTCTGCTGTGTTTTCTTTATCCATTGTGACTCAGCATCTGTCTGGACAGTATCATTATTATTAAACTAATGGGGTAGGAAATGACATTTAGTAATTATCTGTTTGAAGACGTAAATTGATGACAAAATGCTGGTAAAAATGATTGATTTTTAAGACATTAAGTACTGTATATAAATTTTAGGATATTCATTCTTTCTATGTAACCAGTAATATGAGGCCCAAAATAACCTACCGGTTTAAGTACTGTAGTAATTGACAATACTTTGTGAGCAAAATCAAGACATAGTCTTTGCTCTGAGTGATTTTGTAGGTGAGCAGAATCAAGTTCCTTTGTTTGTTGTGTGTTGTGAAAAATTGTGTTCTTTAAAATGAGTACTTACTGTGAAGTAGTAGGAAGAAAATATTCAAATGGGGAGGGGATAATAAAGGAAGGGAAAAGGAAAAATAGAATGGAAAATGGAAACAAAGCTTTTGTAAATAAGGGGAAGAAGGTTTAGAGGGAGAGGAGGGAAAGAAAAAAAGAATTAATATATATCATGTACAGGTACAAATTCCCTATGATGAATGTTATCATCATGTATGTCTAAAGTGTACCAGTAAAATTAATTTTTAAAAATGAGTACTTAGCACCTATCTGGTTTGAACTGTTTTTTACACGTACATCTGATTCACATAGCATGTTAATATCCATCTCTATTATCAGCACCATTGGATCAAATATGTTAGACTATTGCTGCCATAGATAATGTTCAGAAATTTAAAATAGTTTTTTATGTTATTTTCCACTAGGAAACTACTCCTACTCCTAATCCCCCACCTGCAGAAGAGGAGAAAACAGAATCTAATCAGGAGGTTGCTAACCCAGAACACTATATTAAACATCCTCTTCAGAACAGGTAAGCTTTTTGACACCTACATTTTTTATTTAGGTAACAAATTGAAAAGAAAACAGCAAGTTTGAAAAGCAGAATTAGATAAGACTAATTTCAGATGTGTTTAGGTTGAAAGTTCTATTTTTTACTTGGATGACCCTTGATCAGCAAACAATTTTGTGCATTAATTTTGAGCATATAATATAGAGCTACATAATGGGACTGGGGATTTAGCTCAGAGGTTCCACTGCTTGCCTCACAAGCACAAGGACCTGAGTTTGATACCCAGTACCCCCCAAAAAAAGAGCTAGGTGAAGTTCATCAGTGTTTGATTATTTAAAGCCATAGTAGTAAATGATGAGATTTCAGTACATAAGGGGATTTTTATTGAAGCAAAAATGCATAGCTATGGTATAGATACAAAGGTTAGGACAAAGTAGGACATCATGGAAACAAAATTTTTTTTCTAAAACTAATATATAACAGTATATGTGCCAAAAAGACTTTATGTAAGCAAAATCTTAAAATAAATATCCAGTAGGTTGGACAGTTTTTAAAAAAAAATACTTCTTAGGGAAAGGTTTCTAGTAGAGTATGGGTGATGGAATACATAGAAGAGCAGAGTGCAGAGGACATAAGCAGATGTATAGAGTAAGAGCAGAAGGACAGGTAGATGATATGGAAACTGGAGGTTGGTTGGTGGAATTTAAGAAACACATTAGAAGAAGAAAAGAGATATAAAGCTAAGCATGGTGGCACATGCCTATAATCCCAGAATCTAGGAGGCTGAGGCAGGAGGATTGCTATGATTTTGAGGCCATACCCCTACTTAGGCCTTGTCTCCAAAAAAATGAAAAAAGAGATATTAAGATGAATTTTTATAGGTAAGTGTAGAGTAGTATTCACTGTATACCTCTTCTTGACATAGCTATTCTTTTTCACTATATTTATGTGTTTACTTACTGTTTTCCTGGATTGTGTAATGAAAATTAACTTGATTCCATGAAAAGCTGATGTGGGAAGAAAACAGCTAAGAAACATTGTGAGAACTTTCTGGGTTTATTCTACTTTTTTTCAGGGCAGATCCTTTACTTTGTTTGCTTGTAAGAGCATGCAAGCCTGTTTATAGTTTTAATTTCATTTATATTTAAAAATAAAATTTCCCTGCCGTGGTTTAAATATTGTTGTTCTTTATTGTGGGAGACCTGTTGACATGATAATCCAAATATACTTCATGAAGTTTTCTCATAGGAGGTCCTATAGTTTAAATATCCTTCAATGAGGAACAGTCAGTGTGCTTGATGGACCTTGTCATTTAGTAGAACACCAAAGATCAAATAGTCCCTAAAGAGTAAAATCCTTTCTGAGAAAAGCGTTGTGCCTAATGTCTTACATTGAATAGCAAATTTGTATAGTTCAGTGTAACAGAACTAATATCCTTGAAGGTGTTTTTGCTTATTTGTTTTAAGTTGGTTAGTGGGGTGGTCTCTTCTAACTCTGTATAGCTTCTGGTTGTCTGAATATAGTTCTTGGTCTTGATGTTGTGGAGAGAAGTAATCAGATCTTCACAGCTTGAAAAAAAGCTGGAGAGATTTTTGAAAAGTTTCATCTTCCGTAAACAAATCTTAAAGTCTATTTAAGTCTCTAGTTTTTTTATAAATTGTATTTTGTGTAAAATAGCAAATATTATTTGGAAAAATATTACAAGATGATTTTTGGTTCAAATTTGGTAGTTTCCTCATTATTTACTTTTTATAAATATTTCAGAAGATTGTGTTTTCTTCATAAATAACCCTTAGTAATTATAAGAATGATTTAAGTGAATGGGGCACAAGTATATAAAATAAAAGTACTTGGTTTTCTCAAATGCTGTTTTACTTTACTCCCCAGGGCACTGTTAAATTTGTATTGTTCCAGAAGTATTAAGTATACCCGTATACACTGTATTTGTAAGCACATCACTAATACTATTAATTTTTATTTGTGTGTGTAGATTCTGTCTCATTGTTTTAGCCATGTGTTTGTGTGAATCCAGTCACGTGTTTTATCAGGCTTACATTGGTGGGAAGAGAGTGTTTTTATTTTCAAATAATGCTGTAATTTACAACCTTAAATTTCAGATTTCCTAGGAGAAAGAATACTGTTTAACAAGTTTTGCAGAAACTGCCAAATTACTCTCTCCTTGATCAGTTAAGACTCAATAGCTGGAGAGGTCTTGGTTTCTATATCCTTACTAAACTAGCATTATTAGTCTTTTGCATTGTTCCAGCCAGATTGGTCACAGTCCGATTTATGAAAGTTTCTTAATTATTTTTAATTTTCATTTCTTACATTGAACTTTGAAAACATTTTCCTATTGACCATCTGTGGTTTTACCTGTACAGAGTTCATTTAATTCTTTTATCTTTTTCTTTAGGATTATCTTTTCAGGTTCATTTTTAGGCATTATATTTTAGGTATGTTGTTAATCACTGAAGGCAGCAGAGGTAGGGAAGTGTTTGGGGAAAGACTTTTTGTTTTATTTTGGTACTGAGGATTGAACTCAGGACCTTGTGCTTCTAAGGCAGGTGGTGGAACCACTGAGCTAAATCCCCAGCCCCAAATCATGTCTTTTAACATTGTCTGTGGAATTGTATGTACCCCATTCCCCCAATCCCCTATGGGGATTAAACATGCATCAACTGTGCTAGGCAAATGAACTACTACTGAGCCACATCCTTAGCACTTTTTTAAAATTTGTAAATTTTTGAGCCAAAATCTCATTAAGTTGTCAGGTTGGCCTTGAATTTGCCATCCTCTTGCCTTAGCTTCTTTGAGTTTTTTGTTTGTTTGTTTTGTTTTGTTTCTAGAGGATTTTAATTTTGTTTTGAGGTCTCTAGTCCATGCCAACCTTGAACTCCCTGTGTAGCCCTGCTGGCTTCAAACTGGTGAACCTCCTACCTCAGCCTCCCATGTGGTGGGAGAATTCATTGATATATCTCAAATTCATCAGTCTTTTTAGGAAGTTGTCATGGTTACAATAACAAATGAAAGCTTTCTAACATTGCTAGTTTTTTCCCCCTGAAAACTCAAATTTTAAGCAATTGGCTTAGAACTGTTAGTTTTTCCCCTCCAAAAAAAAACTAATCAGGCTGGAGATTTAGCTCTGGCACCACACCTGCCTCTCACGCACAAGGTCTAGAGTTCGATCCCTGGTACCAACAAAAAAGAAAAAAAATGGTATCAGTTACTTTTTCAAGTAAAAATAAATGTTCCATGAAAGAGTCACTAGCTCACATAAAAGTTTAAAGTTGCCTAAACACTGTATTTTGTTATGCATATGCATTAGAAATGTTTTATTACATGTACAATATGAAAAAGTCTCATAAATAGATGGAAATTTAATGCGAATGTAATTTTTATTATTGTATCAGGACATTCTTAAATGGTATTGTTTTTATTTTAAAGTGATGATAATAAAGGATGCATAGAACAGGTGAAAACTCTAGAAGTCATAGTTGTGGGAAAGGATTTCCTAAGCAGAACTGTAGTTTCACAGGAAATAATAGAATCAACAAATGGGATTACATCAAATTAAAAAGCTTCTGCACAACAAAGGAATCAGTTAGTAAAGATACAGCCTGCAGAATGGAAAAATTTTTTTGCCAACTATTCCTCAGAGGACCAATACCTAGAATATATAAAGAACTCAAAATGTTTAGACCACCTAAAATAATAGATGTAGCAAAAAATGGAGCAAGTGAAATGAACACACACTTCTCAGAGAAAGAAATACAAATGGCCAACAAATATATAAAAAAATGTTCAATATCCTTGGCCATTAGAGCAATGCAAATTAATGCTAAGATTCCGTCTTACACCAGAAAGAATTGCAGTCATCCAGAAATCGAAAATTACAAATGCTGGCATGGCTACAGTGAAAAGGAACCCTTCTGCATTGTTGGTGTAATCTAAATTAGTATAGCCATTATAAAAATTCCTCAAAGGGCCGGGGATTTAGCTCAGTGGTTCTGCTGCCTGCCTTCAAATGCAAGGTCCCAAGTTCTATCCCCTGTACAAAAATAAATAAAAATAAAAAAATTCCTCAAAGAACGAAAATTCCTAATGACCTAGCTATCTTCCATCTGAGTGTCTTTCTCAGATAACCAAAGACATCATACTATATAGTAACCATGCATACCAGTATTTTTAAATCCTGGAAGCAGCCTGTGTACTTATCAACAGATAGCTGGATAAAGAAAATGTATCCATATATATAAACGCAATTTTACTTGGCTATAAAGATAGACAAATTTGAGACGTTTGTAGGAAAATGGATACACCTGGAAAATACATTAAGTGAAATCAGACACTTAAATATTGTACTGTACAGTATCTCCTTTGAGAGAGGCAGAGTACGAAAAAAGAACACAATAGAGAATGGATAGAAGGCACCAAGGATATGGATCTTTTGCACATGGGAGGGAGAATGTTGGTGAGAGAAGAGGAAGAGGAAATAAGTAGTCTAAAGAAATGCTAAGTGCAGGAACCTGGTAACCTCAATGAATATAAATATATATCATAATCATGAGATAAGGTTAATAATATCAACAAAAACAAAGATAAAAAAGGCAGTTTGAAGGAGGGATGTGGGAAGGGGATTACAAAAAAAAGAACCAAGCTGTACACATACCCACTCCCCAAGATGATTGTAAACTGCATATACTGCAAGCATGTACTAATAAAATTTTTTTCTTTTAAATATATGAAGGATACAGTGACAACTGTTAGAATAGTTTAGTGCTCTGGATTTATTCTTGCTTAAGGCATGAACAGATTTACCCAGCATTGTTTTCATACTGCTAATGCCAAGCTGTAAAATAGTACTTAGCTTTATATGAAAAAAAAAAAGATCTTGGTATCTTTGTTTTTGTTTTGTTTTGTTTTTGTTTTTGTTTTTTTGGAGACAAGGTCTAATGTAGTCCAGGCTGTGCTCAAGTTCTCAGTCTGTTTCAGTTTCTCCAGTACTGGGCATACCAGGCCTCTGAGTACAATTTGCTTTAAAAAAAAATACAAAGGCTAAGTAATTTTTAAAATAGTACTTAGTCGTGTAGGTTTTTTAAAAAAAATTTTTCCCTTGATGGTGAATTGGCAAATGCAAACAGATTATTCAAGGCAAGTTGAAATGCATCTCATCTTTGTGTCTAACAGGGATTTACAGGCATTGATTATGGAATTATTGAGTATTATCCAATTTAGGAAGGTTTTCAGACAGTTTTCCTGAAAAGAAAATAGAATTTCCAGTTGACTTAACCTTTGGTGCATTGGTCCCTTAGTTTGGTTTCAGGAACTCAGGATGCACAAGTCTCTTCTATAAAATAATGTATTATTTGCATATAACTTTGTACATCCTTCTGTATACTTAACCCATCTGTAGATTATTTATAATTCCTAGGAGGTTTTTTGGTTGTTTTTTTTGTTTTTGTCTTTTTTTTTTTTTAATGTTTTCCAACTTTGGTTGATTGGGAATCAGGACGTGTAACAAGAGAATGGGGATGTGAAACCCACAAATACTAGGGTTGACCTGTATTACACTTCAAGAATATTGAATTTGGCTGGAAATGTAGCTCAGTGATGCCGTGCCTGCCTTGCAAGTGCAAATCCTGAGTTCAAACCCTGGTACAGGAAAAAAAAAAAATGTGTGTGTGTGTAAATTCTTCTAAATGTGAATCATGTTGGGTTAACATTTATTGTCAGTAAACTATTACATATTAGGAATAAAACTTATCAGATATATACAGATGTATAGCAACTGGTATACATTATTTCAGAACATATATTGAAGCTTTATTCAATCCCTTTATTTTCCCATTTGTGTATTTGAATTAATATAGAATTGCATTAGTTTTGCCTCTTCCTACCAACTCCCATGTCTTTTATCTTTAGCTAATAGCTATTTTCTCCTTGAAATTGAGCCTTTCACTTTTTTACTTTCCTTTATTGTTAAGTACTTATACTCTTTTTTCCCCTTTAACTATCTGTGCTTGCCTTTATTGTAGTCCCTACTACACTGTAATTGTCTATCTGCTACGTTTCTGTGTAATCTCCCAAGTGATTAGACTCAGGGTCTGTAGGTATAGCAGGGAATCTATTATATATTAGATATTAAACGTTGCCCCTGTTTTAAAGTTTTGTTTTGTTTTTTATATCGTAGAGCAGGGGATTAAACCCAGGGCCTCACACATCCCCTGAGCCTACTTGTCCAACTGAAATACATGTTTTTTAAATGAAAGAAAGAGAAAACTTGTCTCTGTAATATGAACTACTGCTATAAATTTTTATTCTAAATGTTTGTGAGAAAATACACATAACATAAAATTTGCCTTGTTAGCATCTTTAAACCTACAGGTAAGTAATGTTGAATATGTTCACATTATTTTGCAACCAATCTCCAGAACTTTATCTTTATCTGTAATACTGTCTAACCCATTAAAAAACTTGTATTCCCTCCTCTCCTCTGTACTTGGCAACCACCATTCTCTTTGTCTTTGTGAATATAATTACTTAGGTACCTCTTGTAAGTGAAATTGTAAATAATTTCTCTTTGTGTGACTGGCTTCATCCATCTTGTCTAAAGAATGTCCTTTAAGACTGGTTGATACTCTATTGTATGTCAACTATGTTTTGTTCATCTAACGACTTGGTGATGGATGCTTGGATTGTGTCCATGTTTTGACTATTGATGAATGTGAGTAATAATTTTCTTCTTGGATTGGTGTGCACAACTATTTTTAACACTTGACTTTTTATTTTTAGATGGGCGCTCTGGTTTTTTAAAAATGATAAAAGTAAAACTTGGCAAGCAAACCTTCGACTGATATCTAAGTTTGATACTGTTGAAGACTTTTGGGCGTAAGTAACTCTTTAATGTAGAGTATGTGTTTGTAGTTTTTTAGTTGCATAGTTTTTCATTTTGAGTCAGATTCACAAAAAGAAGGGCTAGCTGAAATTAATGAATCATCTGTAGAACTATTTCCATGTCCGTCTCCTCATAGGTGTTTGAATGGTGGTGTGCCTTAATTGGTTTTGGAAACTTCAATCTTGTCATCCTTTAGGCCTAAGTGTTCTGTAGTCTCATCCTAAGATACCTGTTCTTCCATTGAGAATCCTTTACTGGACAGCTAGTTGAATCTTATTCCCTTTTGTGGTTACCTAGACACATTTGCCTCAAAACTTAAGTATTTTAGGACATTATTAGGGTATCCATTTTTATAAACTTTCCAACACCGTATCTAAAAGTTCCTGTGATAGGGATTTTGAAATATCAGAGATTGACATCAAAATTTAGGGAATGTCAAGAGAATGACAATATCTTTGATGATAGTTGTTAATTTTATTATACTTTGTCATAAACTAAGAAAGAGATTTTTGTTTCCAGTTTAGTTGAAAATTGATTTAGAATCAGAAATGTGCATGACTTCAAAATACAATTTAAATCACAGTCTTTGTCAAGTTTTGATTCAGATCTCCAAAAAAATTTTTTTGTTGTTCTGCTTGAGATTGCCCTAGCTTGTTAAGCTAGTGCTATACCATGGAGCTGCATTCTCACTTCCTACAAAGTCAATTTAGTGTGTATTTATACAGGAGAGTGTATAGGGAGATACTGTTTTAGAATATGGAAGGCAAAACTTAAAACACATTTTTAAGAGCTTTGAATTACTTAGCAATTATCTAAAAATTACAACTTTTATGTCTGTATTTTAGAATTATATACAAGATGAATTAGTGATGTTACTGTTATGTTTTACTGTTAACCCACAAAAGAATGGGTTGTGGTCATAAAATTTATGAATACTTTTTTAAGGCAAAAACATTCTGTGTAGTTACAGTGCTTAGCCTATAATAGATATTCAATGTACATTTGCATGAAAAAAGCAACGCATAAAGAAAACTGAATTGTGAACTTAACTACTGTGAGAGTTAACATTTTTTATTAAAAGCATTGCCTTTTTTTAAATAACAATTACTTTTGATGTAGTTGTCTAGTTAAAATGAGCTTATTTTGCTCTGTCTTTTTTCAAAACATGAAGTGTTTTTTCTTCTCCAGTAGCCTCTTGGTCAAAATTTGAATAACTAGTCTTTACAAAAAAAAATGCTCTCTAGGGTTGGGAATTTAGCTCAGTGGTGCCACTGCCTGCCTCGAAAGCTCAAGCTCCTGAATTCAATCCCTGGTACAAAAAAAAAAAGTGATCTCTAGTCTACAAAGGAAAAGGAAAAAGAATTTTTTTTTTTTGAAACAGGGTCTCACAATGTAGAGACTGACCTGTAACTCACTATGTAGCCTAGGCTGGTCTCGAACTCATAGCGATTCTCCTGCATCAGCCTCCCCAGTGCTGGGATTACAGGCGTGCACCACCACACCCAGCGGAAAAAGAAATTTTGAGCCCTTCCTCCAATCAGATTTGTGTCTCACTAGATTTTTTTTTTTTTTTGCTTTTACCGACTTACATAATTACATTTCTTACTTGTCCTCTGATTATAACATTGCCCTACATTTTAGTTACATGTAAATAATGTCATTGTATAATGGATTTTTATACCATAATTTAGAGATTTGAAGGAGTCCTTCAGTTTTCTATAAATATTTAAGTCCTTTCTTAATTTCTTTTTTCTAACATTTAATCTAAAGAACGATTTAGTCCTTTTGTTTTTAACTAACCTGTGCATTCTTAGCATTCATCTGTTTAATGTGCCATCATGAATTCTCATTAATCTAAAGAGACCTAGAAGCATTATGAAGGACAAAAGAGGCAGCATAAAGAAGACTTCTACCTTGAATGCCTTTGAAGAAAGCCACTCTCACACTACTCATTTAAATTAGTTCTCTTGGGTTGGGCTGGGGATTTAGCTCAGTTGTTCTGCCACCCATCTCACTAAGCGCATAGGACCTGAGTTGAATCCCTGGTACCAAAAAAAAAAAAAAAAAGCATTGACCTTGTCTAGTTTTAGAAGCCAGGCGTGGTGGTGCATCACTGTAATCCCAGCAGTTGGGAGACTGAGGCAGGAGGATCACTGTGAGTTCGAGACCAGCCTGGGCTAGCTACATAGTGAGTTCCAGGTCAGTTTCACCTACATTGTGAGACCCTGTTTCAAAAAAAAAAAAAAATTATTTCTCTTGGGCCAAGGATTTAGCTCAGGGGTTCCACTGTCTGCCTCACAAGCACAAGGACCTGAGTTTGATCTCTGGTACCAAAAAATAAAATAAAATAAATAAATTAGTTCTCTCTATAAAAGTAATGGTGTTCATGCTATAATTACTGTTATTATTCCAGGACCCTTTGGATAGTCTCATGCTATCTTATCCATAGTAAGTTATAATAGGTGTTTTGTTCTGGAAAGTGTGATGAAAGGATGCCATATTCTTTCTTAAAACTCAGTCTGAGATATTCCTAGGTTGGGTAATCTAAAATCTTACTTTATTTTGATATTTGGGAAGTAGTTTATTTTTTAAACTTTTATTAGTATATGTTTGCACTGCATGAAGTTTACATCCATCTTAGGGAGTAGGTGCATGTAAAAAATACATCTTGATTCTGTTTTAATCTTCTCACCCACTTCCCTCCTTCCAGATCATCTAGGAATCTCCTTCCCCATTTTTGTTGTTATTTTTAGTTAATGTTTATGACATTCAGTGTTTACATTCATTGTGGATATTTGGTACCTGTATATGACACTTTCTTTGCGGGGAAGGGGTACAGGTATCAAACTTGGGACCTTGTGCTTGCAAGGCAGGCGTGGTGCCACTGAGCTAAGTCCCCATGATACATCTTAAATCTTTTTATTCCCCCAACATGGGTCTTCCGGACCCCATCCCATTTATAAAAGATCATGTTTCCTCCTATCAGTCCTTTATTTTGGTCTTTATTTGTACTTTGCCTCACTCAAATTAGAGATACCATGTAGTATTTAAGCTTGTGCATCTGATTTATTTCATGTAACATATGTTCCAAGTGGATCCATTTTCTTACAAATGTCTCAAATTTATCCATAGTTTAGTAAAGTAGTATTCCATTATATAACGATACTACATTTTCTTTATCTGTTCATCTGTTGGTGGACATACAGGCTATTTCCAGGATTTAGTTGTATAAGTATTTAAATCTTGAGGTGAGCTTAGACCTTTTTTTTTTAAACCTCCCACAATAATTATTGTACTAATGAGTAGCCATCTGTAGTATTTGGGAACCATTAATCTTTTCTACACTTGGGTACCTCCAAAAATAATGTTTATTGTTTTAAGTCACGTGATCCTGATAGTGAGGGTGGTTCATCTTTTCTTTTGGTTTATTTTTTAATATGTTTGTGAACAAATAATTTGTTCATTAGCTTCCGAAATTCATTTATTTGAAAAATCTCACCTTTATTTTCAGTATCATAAAAATAGGTAGGCCTTGAGTTAATATTGTATCAAAATCTTTTTTTGTCGGATTGAAATTTAAAAGTCATTGAAAATTGTTTTATAAATTGTTTCTTGAACTTAGTATCTGTTTTGTCTGTTTTAGAAAATAACTCCATACTAAAATAAACATGCCTGAACTTTATTATATTTTCTACATTCATATTTTTAATTGTCCTTTTCTTTTACCTAGTCTGTACAACCATATCCAGTTGTCTAGTAATTTAATGCCTGGCTGTGACTACTCACTTTTTAAGGTATGCCTAATTGGTATTTTCATGTTTGTATCATAAGACTGGATCATGCAGGTGTTCATTGAGAAATCTTGCAATAAACTTAGGCATAGTTTATATTACAATGTACAGGTTAATAAATTGGTTTTAAAAGGCTTTAGCATCAATATATTGGTAGAAGTGGAGAGAGTATTACTCTGTATACCTACTGAGATTGATTTTGGTGTGAGAGCTCTGATTATGCAGTTCACTTCCTCCTTGATATATTCGAGTAGCCTGAGTTTGTCAAGCATTCTTAGCCAGGGATGCAGGGGTCCTTGAGAGAGCATTTGTCAGGTGGTAGGGCTTTAGTTAACTCTGAAATTACATAATTTTTGCATGTATTTTTAGATACATAAGTGTATATAGATTCTAAAAGGTTTTACTACTCAGAAGGTGTAAGAACCTCCAAATTAAGTAAAAGACAAGATTTGATAGCTAATAAGTGACAAAGTCAGTACTCTAAGTTTGGTATCCCATGCCTCTGACTTTTAAGACTTCTGTGTTTTAAAAAGTACACAAATGGCAGCTTTATGAGAAATTAAAATGTAAAAGTTGACTGTGGTATATTTCTTGCTAGTTCTAATGATCTCAAAGTGTGGGTTATAATATTGTCTAATATTGTTGTATTCTTACTTGTAGGATGGTATTGAGCCCATGTGGGAAGATGAGAAAAACAAACGGGGAGGGCGATGGCTAATCACATTGAACAAACAGCAGAGACGAAGTGACCTCGATCGCTTTTGGCTAGAGACAGTAAGGTTTTAAAATTATAAAGCAGTTTTAGAATTCTGGTAGGAAGTTACATTTTATTAGATTTACTTAATGAGATAAGAATGCCTACACTTAAAAAGTCTTAAGTCAGCAATTTTTGCAGTCATGTGAATCCTGTATACTTTCCTTTACATGCTAAAACTGAAACATTTTACTATATTACAAGTCACACAGAAGATGGTTGATGTTGAACCCTTGTCTTCCAGGGTATGCTTACCTGATCATTTCATCCACCTCAAAATTACAGAATTTTTCATTTTACATTATTTAATATTTTGCATCCCACATAAGCATTAGTATATTTGTATTATATTTTTTCAGCACACAGTAAAACAAACAAACACAATCAGTGAAATTGTTGCTTAATATGTTTACAAATTGTAAAGAAATTTTGGTTGTGCAGGATACATTAAAGAAGAAATAACAGTCATTATTATAGTCACAGGTTCCAAATCCCAAGCTACCAGGAGTAGATTTCTATTGTATTCCTAGCACTTGACTTAGTGGCTTGTTTCTTTTCTTTCCTTTCATTTTCCTTTTTTCTTTTTGCTTATGCTGGGGATTGAACCCAGAGCTGTACTCATTCTAGGAAAGTATTCTACCACTGAGTTGCATTCTCAGCCCTTTTTATTTTGAGACATGCTTATGGCTGGAACTCACAATCCTCTTGCCTTAGCCTCCTGTGTGGCTAGGATTACAGGTTTGTGCCATCATAGCAAGCTTCAAAGTACTTATTGTATTTTAATGAATGATTCTTTTCAAAAACAATAAATGTGTTTTAGTCACTTTCTTATCAGTGAGACACAATACCAGTGCCCACAACTTAAAGGAGGAGAGGTTTGTTTCAGCTCATAGTTCATCAGTCCATGATCACCTGGCTCCAAAAGAAGAAATGGCTTGATGGAAAAACTGCTCCTGTCCTGGTTCTCAGGAAACAGAAGGGAAAAGCTGAGAAAGGAGTTAAATAAGCCCTTGACCCTACCTTGTAACAGTGTAATCAACTGTAACTTCATAAACCATTTGCCTCTCAAACGTGATACTTTGGGGGACATTATAGATCTAAACTCTAACAAGACATTTCTGGAGATGGTTATAGTGATCGTTGTACAGCAGTGGTAAATGTACTTAAAGCCTGAACTGTATACTTAAGATTAAAACGATAAATTTTATGTATAATTTATCACAGTTTAAAAAGCAGCAAGTTTTCTTGCAAAGCAAGAAAATAGCAGTTAGTTGGAGAGCTGATTCAGTTACTTCATAGTTTTTGTGTGCCAACTGTAAGCAGCAGCAGCAGAGAAAATGAATGATGATTGAAAACATGAATAATAATGGAAAATCATTCCACTTGTGTGTGTGGGCATCAATTTTCCATTTTGCAAAAAAACAAACAACAAATGTTTTTAAAAGTCAAGGGAAGCTGGGTGTGATGGTGCATGCCAGTAATCCCAGTACTCAGGGAGCTGAGGCAGGAGGATTTCTGTGAGTTCAAGGCCAGTCTGAACTGCATAAAGAGATCCTGTCTATCAATGAATGAATGAATGAATCCGTGCACACCATGGCAAAGAAGTATATACATAAATAAAATTTAGACATTAAGTCAACTCATGATTTAAAACCTAATTTCAGTTTTATGTATATGTCTTAATTACTTTTCTCCTTGCTGGGGCACAGTACCCACATCCTTAAAGGAGGTTTATTTTGGCTCACATTTTAGAAATTTTAGTTTTTGTGTAAGTGCAAGCTGAAGGAATAGAGGGTATGGCAGAAGCGAAGTCAGCAAAGTGAAGGAGGAGCCAGGGAGCTGTGCCTTCCACACTGCACTCCTAGTGACCACTTCTTAGGACTAGACCACCTCCTCATAGCAGACAAGTTATAAGCTCAGTAATCTGATCACCTTCTAAAAGTATCACCCGTGAGGAATTGAGGCTCTTGAGGACTTCTAGATATAAAGCTTGACAATACTCAAAAATAAAAGATACATTTGCCACCTAGTAAGTGGTTTATAATTTATCCAATATAATTTGGAGGTTTCTTTCTTTTTTGAAGCTGCTGTGCCTTATTGGAGAATCATTTGATGACTACAGTGATGATGTGTGTGGAGCTGTTGTTAATGTTAGAGCTAAAGGTGATAAGATAGCAATATGGACTACTGAATGTGAGAACAGAGAGGCTGTTCAACATATAGGGTAAGTGTTCGCTCTTTGCCTGATTTTTTCCACAATATTATGATAATTAAAACCAGAAGTGCTTTTGTAGCTTGAGAATTACTTGGTTATAAACCATTATTTTTCTTGTTTTGTTTTCAAGAACACTTAACATTTTTTTTCCCTTTTACTCCAAAAGGGTCTTTAATGCCCCTATCAGGTTAGTGACTATGAATCCCTGAAAACCCCTTATATTTTTTCTGGCCCTGTAGTTTTGGCCAATCTAATAGGTCAAATAAATGTAATCAGAATAGTAAGTATATGGGTAACAATGCCCTGTGATGAATGTGATCATTGTATATCAGAAATGTACCAATAAAACTAACTTTAAAAAGCAGTATGTAACCTTATTCATAATCATAGTTATAAATATAAGTGGGTTAAGTATTCCAATTAAAAGGCATCAGTTGGCAAAATGAATTTTACTTTATTTTTCTTCATTGGTACATTTTAGGTATACAATACAGTTAAACATTCGTCATTGGAATCTTGTACCTTCACATGATGTATCTTGGTTCTTATTTTCCCCTCCACCCTTCCTTATTTACATAAGAAGGGAAAAAAAATAAGAGAAAAGGAAAAAAATGGAAACAAACACTTAATTTTGAACTCCTCTGGTAGTGCTCACTGACTTGTTCATGTTGTTTTGATTTCTGTAAAATTGATTTTTCTTACCACTGGAGTATAAAAGCAGGAAAGCACCCTACTTTGGCATATTTAGTATTTTGCTCATATTAAATGAGTATAAGTATTTTTTCCAGCTTTGAAAAGTGCTATTTGAAAGAAAAAAAGCACTACTATGAGAAGGATGAATTATAAAACTCATAATTCAGTGAGTATTGGTACAAGATACAGTATATCTTTTCAGCATTTTATTTAATACATCTTGTTTCTGAAATTCTCATAATTAAATCCCACACATGTATTGTAGGTTTTTGAATTTTTGTTTTGGTGAGTTTTGTTCTGTCATTTTTTCCCCCAAAACTCTGTTAGCTAAGATTTTCTTTGTCAATTTTGTGTGATATTTCAAACATTATGAATTCTTCTGTAAAATTCCTTTCCAGATAAAAAAAGTACAGGGAAAAATGAGAACCAAGACCTGTCATGTAAAGGTATAAGATCCCAATAATGAATGTAACTGTACTGTATACCTAAAATGTACCAATAAACTTAAAAAAAAAAAAAAAAGTACAGGGAATGCTGGGCATGGTGGCACACACCTGTAATCCCAGCACTTAGGAGGCTGATGCAGTGATCCTGCAAGTTCAAGGCCAGCCTGGACCACACAGTGGGTTCAAGGCCAGCCTGAACTACAGAGCAAGAGCCTGTCTCAAAAAAACCTAAACAGATAATAAGTAAAAGAGTACAGGGGTTTCCCAGATTTCATGTTTATGGGGCTTCTGTAAGATAGTAATTGAGTAGTCATCATATTCTTAATCTTTTGTTAACATTTGTTTTATTATAAGCTGGGTGCGGTGGTGCACACCTGTAATCCCAGCACTCGGGAGGCTGAGGCAGGAGGGTCGCTGTGAGTTCGAGACCAGCCTGGACTACATAGTGAGTTCCAGGTCAGTCTCAACTACACAGTGAGACTCTGTCTTTAAAAAAAAAAAAAAGAAAAGAAAAAGAAATCTATAAAAAACATTTTGAATTAGTTTTTTCAAGGAAAAGGTTTTTTTTAACCCCTCTAATTTACATATCAGTACACTCAGTGCTGTAGTATCATACTATAAATCTGATAGTAGCTATCAGTTATTTTAAAAATTATTTTTAGATACACTGTTTGGAGGAAGCTAAGTAAACTAGAGGATGAAGTATGAAAAAGGTATCCTGTCATTGTTAGGGGAATTAGCTCCTAATTAATGTGTATTTCTTTGTTTGGTTTTACTGCTTATTTTTAGTTTTGTCACTGCCCCACACCTCCGAACAAAGATTCAGTTTACTAAGATGACATGAAGCTCTCTGTGACCTTTCTCTAGAACCTTGTCAGCCTTCTTATATTCATTTATGATTATGCCCACAGCCTTATTTTTATTTCGTAGCCTTCAGATGTGTTTTGTTCTCTTAACATTATTTATTTGGTACTGGGGATCTATCTCACAACTTTGCGCTTACCTGGCATGCACAGTGCCACTGAGCCAAATCCCCGCCCCCCACATTATAATTTTGATCTCATAACTTTTTTAAAGGAAAACATTTATTGGTACATTTTAGATATGCATAATGATAACATTCATCATAGGAAATTTGTACTGGTATTATGATGTATCCTACTTCTTCTTTTCCCATTCCCCCCTTCAACCCTTATTTGTTTCTGTTTTGTCCTACTATTTTCTTTTTTACCTTGTGCCCCCCTTCCTTTATCCCTACCCTCTCCCTTGTTCCCCTTCTCTCTTGAACATTTTCTTCCCATTTTCCAATGTCTGTTGTACATTTTAGTCCTTATTTCCACTTTCGGTTCCTCACACCAGAGAAACTGATATTTAAACAGTGACCTCGTAACTTTTAAAGGGCAGCGTTCTCTAATATTGTGGATGAGATTAGATCTTCTAGTTTATGCAGTATCACAACATTTTAGGGGGGATACCAGGAATCAAACTCTGGCCCTTGTGCTTGTGAGGCAGGCGGAGGAACCACTGAGCTAAATCCCTCGACCCCACAGCTCTTATATTTAATCCTGTTTGACACATGCCACATTTTCTTATAGTATTCACATCTTAGGAAAATTGAGCTGTAGACATTTTGGTACACAAGGGAAATATGTGTTCTAGTAGGAATTATGTATGTTCTAAATTATCCTGAAAATACTGTGAACATTCCCTCAAGGTATTTAGTTTTCATATGTGCAATCTTGTTGGTATTGGGAATGATATGTGTAATTGTGTGGTAACACAATGTCATATCAAAGAGTGAAAACATGTATGCATGATACTTATTTTTATGTAAGTTGTGTATGCACATAAGACAGCTTCATCATATGTATTGGAGATTATTTGATGGTTTTCCCCACTGAATTATACATTTGCCATGAGTTCAGGGACTGCCCCTGCACTATTGATTTACTAATAATTACCTTAATACTTGATAGATACCTGATTGGATCTCAGATATTTGTTACATGATTAAATTGTGAAAATAATGAGCAAATTACGATAAAAGGAAAAAGTAATTTTCTATTTTACTCAAGTGTAGGTATTTTTATATGAAGGCTGATAATGGTGAGTTTTTAAAATTATTTTTTGATAGATAAAAATTAATGTCCACTTTTTTGCCTTCTAGGAGAGTATACAAGGAAAGGTTAGGACTTCCTCCAAAGATAGTGATTGGTTATCAGTCCCATGCTGACACAGCTACTAAGAGCGGCTCAACCACTAAAAATAGGTTTGTTGTTTAAGAAGACACCTCTGAGTATTCTCATAGGAGACTGCGTCAAGCAATCGAGATTTGGGAGCTGAACCAAAGCCTCTTCAAAAGCAGAGTGGACTGCATTTAAATTTGATTCCATCTAAATATTGCTAAGATATAAGAGAAGTCTCAGTCGCCTTGTCTTGTACTTCTGTGACTTCTGTGTTTTTTGTTGTTGTTGTTTTTTTTAATTTGTTTGTTTCTTTGGGGTTTTTTTGTTTTGTTTTGTTTTTATTTTGCTAGAAGTATCCACCATCCCAATCAAAGAATTACAGTACACAGCATCCCTAGAATCTATAAATGTGTTCCTGATCCACTCTGTAATAGCTTAGCAGAACTACCATGCAAACACATTTTACCCATTTATAATATTCAAGAAAGAGCTTGCATTTCTATAACAGGAAAAGAATCGTTATGTTTCATTGTATGCAGGAGCATATTTTGCTGGTTTGAGAGAGTATGATGCATACAGTTTTCTAGCAATTTTCTTTGTTTCTTTTTACAGCATTATCTTTGCTGTACTCTTGCTGATGGCTGCTAGATTTTAATTTATTTGTTTCCCTGCTTGATAACATTAGTGATTCTGATTTCAGGTTTTTCATTTGTTTTGCTTTTGTTTTTTTCCTCATGTAACATTGGTAAAGGATCCAGGAATATGACACAAGGGTGGAATAAACATTAATTTTGTGCATTCTTTGTTTTTTTTTGTTTTTTTTAATAACTACAAAGCTTCGCTATAAATTTATGCATTTCATTCAAATCAGTGATCTGTGTTTGTGTGATTTCCTAAACAACGATTGTGGATTATAAGTATAACATCATAATTACATTCCTAACTAGAATTAGTGTGTGTTTTTGTATCTTTATGCTGTATTTTAATACTTTGTACTACTTAGGTTATTTTGCTTTGGTTAAAAATTGCTCAAGTAGAAAGCAGTCCCATTCATATTAAGACAGTGTACAAAACTGTAAATAAAATATGTACAGTGAATTGTCTTTTTAGACACCTAGATTTGTCCTTTTATTTCTCCATCTCTGTAGAAGGAATTTGAACTTTTTATTGCAAGGCAGTCTCTATTGTGTCTTCTCTTGTAGTGTCTTCCACCCGAACAGCATACATTTGGAGCGCTCATTCATTATGTGTACTGCAATTTTTTATAAATTTAGTAGGTCGTATATTATGGAATTAAACTGATGTGGCTATCTTTGTTTTTAATAAAGTAAGGCACAGTTCTTCAGTATTAGGTAAATAAATGTATTTTGGATGTGTTAACAATTTATGAAAATTGGGATTTTGGTGCATCACCATGTGATTGACATAATAGGGGTTGTAAAATTTGGTTATTGAATTGAGATGTTCTTATATAAGTGTCAGAAGGATAGCACAGGGAAAAACAGGTGGTGGGCGAATGTATTAAGACTAGTGTTATTTAAACAGAACAGAATAAACTGTTCAAGGCATTTATATTGGTGAATTGTACGGTCAGTTGTATAGTTTTCTGAAAACTTGATATATTCTTTGTAGAATGTCATTTGAAAACAAATCTGAAAATATTTTGTCTATAATACATAATTGTGTACATCAGATTCTGTGGAATAAGCTCTGGGTGTCATAGAATAAAGAGTAAATTGAACCATAGGTAGCAAAATAGAAATCATTAGTTGAAAGAAAAATTTAAGGAGTGGTTATGATTTGATCAGATGCAAACTAATAATCTTCAGAAAGAGTCTTATAAAATAAACATTAAATTAGTAGCTTGGTTTCATTGTAGAAATATAAAGTAGGTTTTAAATTATGCCATAGATTACTGTTTGAGTACTGTCAAGCCACAGATACCTCCTGTTCAGTATTCTAGAAGTGTGGAATCTTGTGTTTATAATCTCAACCTTCTGTAACTAATATTTGTTCTAGGTTTGGGTGATCGTGTCAGCTGATTTATTGTCTGTTGATATGTACAGTTGTGAACATTTCAATAGCTTGCTAAAAGTGATGGTGGTCTGTTGGCAATGAATGAGACTGGAGTCTGTTATAAACTTAATGTTCTCATTTCCTTAATCTTACAATGCAGTTTAGTCACAATTTTATTTTAAATCTCTTTCCCAGGATGAAGAGAGATGGGAAATTATCCTGAATCACTTTTGGCAGTCTCCCCTTTAAGTATCACGGCAACTTGCACTTTGCATAAACTTTACATTATTCTCTCCTTGTCCAACAGGATGTTATATATTTTCGTAATAGAAAATTGAAATAATTTTAATTGAATAATAATTCATTGTAGCATGTGACATTTCATTTAATAAATACAAATTATACACTTGTACAGAAGGATGTGATGCATATATAAAAATTTTGATAATTACAACACTTATGTACTACTTTTTGTGCCAGGCAGTGTTCCAGTCATTTTACATGTACATTAATGTGCATAATAATCCTTTGATGTATAGGTGCTTTTACTTCCATTTCACAAATGAAAACAAACATTAAAGATATAAATATCTTAATAGCTTATGTCAGGTGTAAAGTGAATTTGAATTATGGAAATTTGATTCCACTTATCCTAAATCACAATGTACTCAATGGTCCTAATAAGAAATATTTATAAAGTTACAAGAGATTGTGATCAATTTATAGGCCAGCCATATAAATATTTCTCCATTTACTTTTATCATGAAGCCAGTTACTCTCATCAACCAACTAAAGTAGTGTTTTGAGAACACAGAGGCAAAAGTATAGGAGGTGACAGTATGTGTTATATTTTTATACGCAATTTTAAGTGTATCATAAATTGTCTTCGAAGGTAAATGACAACGCAAAATGTTCAAATTGATAGAAGTTGAGATTTTTAAATGCTAATGTTGCACTCAAAATGATAAATTTGGTAAGGCAATGCAAGGCAGACAGTGCGATGTTTTACATACAACGAAGTCTTTATTATAGACTGTCTTCATTATTGAGTAATGGAAGAAAAACTGATTTTCTGAATTGACATCAAAGTACACAAATTCCAGATTTTAGGTCAGATTGACATTGAAAAATATTCACTGTGTCTCAGGGATCTCTAGAAATTTTGTATTGCTGCAACGTGGAAGAATGGATCATTGTCCTAGTAATTTAAAAAATCGTTTTACAAAGTATTTGACATTGCAAGGGCTCAGACTGGTCCTTCATCACAAAGGGTTTGACAAATACTAGGTTGCTTTCCTAGGTGGCACAGGTAGTTAGTTCATTCACCCATCTTTGCCCAAAACAACTAGATCCATTACATGTACTCTCCCTATATCATTACAAATAACTTTGGTATCAAAATTTTGATTTTTGTATTTTATCATTTCCTACTTGCTTTGAATTCCAAAGAAGACTTTAGCTTTCCTGCTGCCTTGGGTAGATTTAGACATATCTTGTGATTTCCTTCTCTTCCACTGAGAGAAGCAAAAGAGTTAATTGTAGTTGTGGTCCATGAAACTCAACCAGTCTTTTGCAAAACATTTGTCCCTTCCTCTGCTTCAGGCTTTGTAATTGCTCATAGTTTTGCACATATGTCATTTCCCTGTTTTCAGTAAAAGAAGAAAAAAAAATTATAGCACTTTCCAACCTCTTGGTGTCGGGCATATAGCTAGAGCAAAATGGACTGGACATTGGTTATGAAATTTTAAAAGATATTCAAAATTAATGTTTTGCTGGGCGTTTTGGTGTATGCCTCCCTGTAATTCCAGAGTTTGGGAGGCCAAGGCAGGAGGAACTTTTATTGAAGTAAAACTAGAGTTCATATTTCTAAGGCTTATGTATTCTACAGGTAAGTATAAAATGCAGTTAGTTATGCTGAAGATTGAGCCTTGACATTGAGTTTTTAAATAGCTCACAGCCTTGGAGGAGTCCAGCATCTGTAAACTTGGATTTACAAATTACAGCTTTTAGAAGACCTAGTTTCTATTCTATGATCAAATAAAGCTTTGTGGTTCTTTCTATTATTTGATAGCACTTTAAAACTTCCATTTAACATTTTTTATATATTGTGCTATTACATTGTAATTGTTTCTATATAATTGTGGTTTTACAGTTATCAACCCTTTCGTAAAATACTGGTCCATAATTTTTTCTTTAACATTTGCCAAATATGACATGCTTATTTTATTATTCATCCCTATGAAGAGTGAAAAGGTGAACAACTGCTGTCTCCTTCAATTTCATTTTTCTTTATGGTTCCATTCCAATTCCTTGTAAATGTCTAAAAATGTTCTACACATACACCAGATGTGTATGTTCTCACATGTGTAGTACTGGGGATTGAATTTGGGATTGAACTTGCTTGTGAGGCAGACAGCGGAACAACTGAGCTAAATCCCTGGCCCTCTTGGCATTTTTGCCTTTACAGATTCCTCTGTGAAGTTGTGATCATTTTGTATAATGAAGACAGTTTACTATTCTTCAGTAATACTAAGTATTCTGTAGCCATTTGACACAGACCATCACCTGTTATTGTGTGCCACAAAGAAGCTTTGAAAGTTGCAGTTTTGACACTTTGATGTATTTCTGATTGGTTATAAATACAAGTTATAAATACAAGTGTTAGATTGAACATTTTCTTGAAGACAGTAAGCTAGTATGTATTTTCATTTTAGACCTGTAAATGTTGAAAAAGCTTGAACAAAACAATGGTAAGTCAGTCCTAGTGTGATGTTTTACTCAGAAGAATTTACTAGAACTTCTCAAACCCCCATTGTCATCAGTTTCCTTTTGGCCTTTGATTTAAGGGGCTCTTGCCTGCCCCTCCCTCATCTGCAATCTTTGACTCTGTTTTGGGTGTTTGTGCATGATGTGTGGCACGTTTTGGTGTGTAGGACATGCCATAGGAAATGTGAGGCATGAGATTTCATGTTTTGCATTGTTAATTTCAGACAAATTGTTAAGCATATTACATACACTTACAGTGCCCTTCCTGTGTTCTTGTATTGCCTTTTATATAATAAACCTGGTTAAGTATTTCAGTGTCCTGCACTTCTCCACTCAGTAGTTTTGTAATTGTGCAAAAGTGATAGTTAAAGGAATCAACTATTTTCCTGTCCTTTCAGAAAACTCCCTTCTCCAGTTTTTCTTTTTATCATTTTCTGTTTTCAAATATTGCTATCTTCTATTGTCTCTACCATCTTTGGATTATCCATCCTGACACTGATTGTGCAGGAATTTCCAAATCTCTCTCCTTAGCATAACTGTCCTGTTGTCAGCTCTGTTTCTCCTTGCCTACTGGGTTAGTATCTACTACAAAGTATAGCCTGTGCCCACACATGGTCTTACCTACTTATTTACGTGTCTACAGCTGTTTGTTTTGTTTTGTTTTGTTTTGTTTTTTTTGCCACAGTGGCACATTGGCTGATTGTGACAGATTAGCCACAAACTCTAAGGTGTTTACTGCTCAGCTAATTTAAAGGTTTTTATACTTATTGTGAATGTTTTATATTGATATATTCCACCCCCCTTTTTTTTTTGCTTTCAGTGAACCCCAGTTGTATTCTCACATAAATACAAAATATATTCATGGTAAATCGAATTATCTTGCCTCATGGTTTTATTAGCTAAGACAAAAGTGGTAGTGCTGATTTTGCATAGGCAGATTCTCTGAATTACAGTTTTGCTTTTTTATATTCATTTTGTTTTTAGCAGAAGGGGAACAGTACACCGGAAGACTATTTGCCTATTTAAAAAGATCACAGTTCATAGCAGTATGCCTATGTCATCTGCAATAACATGAATACTTTGTTTTGTGTGGTAGAAGGATCTATGTCCACACTATCCGAGGGTGGCATCAGTTTGTTTCAAGTTAAGGTGGAGGACATGCACATCCATTTTTTAATCCCTCAAGAATTTCAACCCACTAAAAGATACTCATCACTCATTCTCCTACAGCTATCAGAATAGATTCATAAATTAGCCATTCCAACATCTATTGAGCACATGCTACATACGGTTCCATC